GTGGGAAGGCGCCGACGTGATCGTACACATAATCGGGAAAAACTATTTTTATGATCTTTGTGATGTATTCGGTTGTGACCATATTGTTTACATTGGAATTTAAAATATTACTCGATGTTTTGATGTTTGCAAAAATGAAAAATTGGTTTTAAAATTTTACGTCGTTACACTCTGACCCTACCTGTAGCCAATGCCATGGGTTGGGAAGCCATGAAAGAACTCCTCATAGTCGAGTACTGTCCCCGTGGTGAAATGCAGAAACTAGAGCTCGAGCTCTAGAACCTGAAGATGAAAGGTTCCGGCATTGCTGTCTACACTTCCCGATTCGATGATCTCGCACTTCTCTGCCCAGGATTAGTCACTCCTGAAAGCAAAAAGATCGAAAGGTTCATTTGGGGGTTATCCCAACCGACAAAGAGTCATGTCTTGGCTGCCCGTCCGGATACCTATGATAGTGCCAAGACTTTAGCCCAAACCCTGATTGATCATAGCGATGATGTTGAGGAAATCACTAGCACTTCTGAGCCGCTTCAAAGGAGTGGTGAAAAGAGAAAATTCTGGAAGAAGAAGAAGGGTCAATCTTCTCAAGGATCTTCCAAGAAACAGCAGACTGTAGCAGTCCATGCTGCTACTACCCCCGTTGCTGCTGCTTCTGTTGTGGGATCCACAGCTCCAACTCCTACCAGTAGATATGCTGGTAATCTTCCTTTGTGTGACATGTGCCAAATACCATCACAATCCTGGCCCCTGCTGAGAACTAGCCTGTAGCAACTGTGGTAAGAAGGGTCACAAAGTTCGATTTTGCAAAACTCCGGCCCAATCAGCCAACTAATCATCTGGAGCAGGCGTTAGTCAAGCTTGCTACAACTGTGGACAAGTTGGGCACTTTAAAATGAACTGCCCCAAGAAGTCAACTACTGATAACACCGGAAGGGTTCTAACCATGGGACGGGAGGAAGCAGTCGCCGATCCCACTGTTGTTTGGGGTACGTTCCTTCTCGACAACTCATATGATAGTATTCTTTTCGATTCGGGTGCTGAAAGGAGTTTTGTTAGTCATGCATTCAAACATAACCTAAAACGTAATCCCCAACTACTAACTGAAACGTTTACCATCGAGATGGCTAACGGTGAGAAAGAAAGCGCTAACGATGTTTTCGTAGGTTGTACGCTTACCCTAAATGACCACTCATTTCCTATAGATCTCATGCCATTTTCCATTAAGAGCTTTGATGTTATCATTGGCATGGATTGGCTGAGTCCCAATCATGCTAATATCCTTTGTTACGAAAAAGCCATCCGTTTCAATCTTCCCTCGGATCAAACTCTCGTAATCTATGGCGATAAACCCAGTTCCAATCTTTGTATCATTTCAAGCATCAAAGCTCGGAAGCTCCTACGAAAGGAGTGCATTGCATTCTTAGCCCATGTGATCAACGAGAAACAAGAAGTTAAAGACCTCGCGAACATCCCCGAAATCTGTAACTTTCCTGATGTGTTTCCCGAAGAGCTTCCAGGAATTCCTCCCGAGCACCAGGTCGAGTTCCGTATTGACCTAATTCCTGTAGCGAAGTCTCTGTATCGCTTAGCTCCAACAGAAATGCAGGAGTTATCCAGTCAACTCAATGAATTGCTCAGTAAAGGATTCATTAGACCGAGTTCCTCACCCTAGGGAGCTCCGGTTATGTTTATCAAGAAGAAAGATGGATCCTTTCGGATGTGTATCGACTACCGTGAGCTGAACAAGTTGACCGTTAAGAACCGTTATCCTCTTCCGTGAATAAATGACCTCTTCAATCAACTCCAGGGAGCCAGCTATTTCTCAAAGATAGACCTTCGGTCAGGGTTCCATCAGTTACAAGTTCAGGAGAGTGATGTTTCCAAAACAGCTTTCAGAACTCGGTATGGACACTACGAGTTCGTAGTGATGCCCTTTGGTCTAACCAATGCACCGGTTGTGTTCATGGATCTGATGAACCGGGTGTGCCATCCCTTCCTAGACAAGTTCATCATCGTTTTCATTGATGACATCCTTGTCTACTCCCGAAGCGAAGAAGACCACAAACAACACTTAAGGTTAGTGTTGGAGACCCTTAGATCCGAGAAGCTATACGCGAAATTCTCCAAGTGTGAATTCTGGATACGGAAGGTAACTTTCCTCGGTCATGTGGTAAGCGAGAAGGGTATTCACGCGGATCCTTCCAAGATTAAAGCGATAGAGAATTGGTCGGCACCGAAGACACCCACAAAAATCTGTCAATTCTTGGGTCTCGCCGGCTATTATCGGAGATTCATCCAGAATTTTTCCAAAATCGCCAAACCCTTAACCACTCTAACATAGAAAGGTGTACCCTTTTGTTGGAGTGATAAACAAGAAACTGCATTCCAAACTTTGAAGAGAGCCTTATGCAGCGCGCTTGTTCTGTCCCTGCCCGAAAGGATAGAGGACTTCGTTGTCTACTGCGATGCGTCTAATCAAGGCTTAGGCTGTGTGCTTATGCAAAGAGGAAACGTGATTGCTTATGCCTCAAGACAGCTGAAAGCACATGAGGTCAACTATACCACACATGACTTGGAACAAGGAGCCGTAGTCTTTGCATTGAAAATTTGGAGACATTATCTCTACAGAACCAAGTGCACAATCTTCACTGATCACAAGAGCCTGCAACACATCTTTGATCAGAAAGACTTGAACATGAGGCAACGGCGATGGGTAGAACTACTCTGTGATTATGAGTGTGAAATCCGTTACCACCCCGGCAAGGCCAATGTCGTAGCAGATGCCCTTAGCCGAAAGAAAAGTGCAGGCCACAAAGTGAAGAACCAGACGATGACTATCCATTCCAACTTGCCCATGCAAATCCGAGAAGCCCAGTTAGAAGCCCTCAAACCCGAGAACGTGTTGATCGAAACCTTGAGAGTAATGGAAAAGAAACTTGAGATCAGAGGTGATGGAGTCTATTGCTTCATGGATCGGATCTGGATTCCAAAGTCCGGAGGATTCAGGGAGATTGTCATGGAAGAAGCACACAAAACCAAATACTCCGTTCACCCAGGTTCGAACATGATCCCCCAGACTTTAGAAAAGGAATTGTGTTCATAAAAGATATGAGAACCTAAATTTTTGAGGCACTTATAGTCATTGGTTCTCAAGGTTGTGAGCTCTCGGAATGATTTTAGTTGTTCAACAAAAATCACCATTTCTTCAACAATTTTGTGCATATCAACAAAATTGATTTCTTCCACAATTGTCTCAACAATTTCATCTCCGATCACAAAATTAGTTCCTTCTTCAATTTCTTCAATAAATTCCTCTTCAACCAAGAAATTTATTCTTTCACAAAATTCCCCTTCTCCATCGGTGTCGTTGATGGGACCGGAATCTTCTTCCTCATCTTTTTCAATTTTCTCTTCCTCTATGTCTTCTTCATCATATAGCTTGCGCAACATTTCTGGACAACAACAGAATTCAAACAAACTTAGCAGATTTTTTTTTTGAACAAGAACTTAGTTACACCCAATCGGAACTAGGCTCTGATACCACTTATGATGCGTGTATGGGCTTGATTTAGTGAGTGGGGTAATTTTTAGGTAAATTAAGCTAGAATAGCCACCACAAATGATATGTGAATGGAAAGAAATGGATAGATTAGTAACAACTCAATACCTATTAAGTTGTATACCGGTGAAAACAATCCAAGAGCTATTGGATTGCGTTCGTATCAAGTCAAGAATACGTCCTAACAAGACAATTTTTTAATTGTAACAATAACTCCAATTGAAGAAAGGTTTTTTTCTTAAAAATTCGTCTATTCACTTTCCCATGCATAAACTTGGCTTTATATGAAGCCTTTATTACAAACATGGTGGTTACAAGCCAACCAACCAATTATTCATTAAAACTAGTAAATGAAATTTAAGGAAACTCTTGAAAAAACACAAAAAAATGTCTACCACACTTAAGAATGACAAAAAACATCCATGTCCTCAATTAGTCTTCAATTGCTAGTAATTGAGTGTAACTCCCAAGGATTAAAGAGAACCATCAATGATAAGAGTGTAACTCCCAAAGTTTAAAGAGATCCATCAATGATAATAGTGTAACTCCCAAAGTTTAAAGAGAGCCATCAATGATACCCTTCCAAATGCTTCCATAATCACCCTAGCTTTGAATCCATCAATAAATGAAGTCTTGGATTTATTAAACTTTTATTAATTTAATTATGAAAACCCTAATCCATCAACTATGTCACCATGCATACCCCATAGGCCATTAAGCCCAAACAACTTTCTAGCCCAACATTAAGCTACCCATAGCCTTTTGGGCCTTCATTATCCATATACGGATCATTCCCTCCTTCTTCGAAAGGAATTGTCCTGAATTCAGTAAGAACCAAATTGTGTTGTTCCCCCATACGAACCTTCCCTGACAGCAAGTCTTGAAAACAAATTTTTATTGAATAATTTGACCTTTTCTTTATTCCAACTTGGTCCTTTCTCCACATACACATGTTCTTCTTCAAATAACTCAAATAACTCGCCAAATTCAATCCTAACCGTATCTTCCATTTGTGGATGAAAAACCACTTCCATACATTCCCATGAACTCGGCCCTGCAAATTAATCTTGCAATAATTTAAATGGTTAATTGTAGTTATTTTAAAGAATGGATCATGGTTTGTATTTGTAAGTTGATGAGCAGTACGCCTCAATATCATGGTTTCCCAATTTAAGGCACACCAAAAGAATATGCGTCCAAACTTCATGAGCATCCTCCCATGTAAATACTTGGGACTTAGATCTTCATATTGATTAATTCTTTCTTCTTTGCTCGTAGAAAGATGGTTTGTAGAAAGATGGATACCATCGTTCGTCTTTCTTTCACCACAAACATCAAGCCTTCGCTCTTGGTGTTTTTGAACAACGAATGAAGAATTAAATAAGATATCTTTTGTTTTTGGACAACACAAAAAAGTGGCATACGAATTGTCACACAATGTCTATTTTCGTGACTGATTGCTACCACCATGAACACATCTTGTTTTGGAAATCATCATATCGCCTTTTGGAGTATACAAAATTCTGCCATCATCTAAAAATAATTGGTCTTGCTGTTTTTGAGTCTTGAGTGAAAAGTCTACATCTCTAATTGCACAAAACTTTTTATCAAAAGTAATATGCATGTCTTTTTTCTCCTTTTGATCAATTAACGAAGACAAAACAAAAACATCACTATCAAGATCATAATTAGCAAAATCCAACCTCTCACCGTACTTCTTCTTGTCACAAAGGCCTTCAAAATGAAAAATATAAGCATTCCATGGCATCCAAAGTGTAAAAATCTGCCACACATTGAAACGAAAATAAAGATGAAAAATGGAAATCCCCCACACTTTAGAAAAGGAATTGTGTTCATAAAAGATATGAGAACCTGAATTTTTGTGGCACTTATAGTCATTGGTTCTCAAGGTTTTGAGCTCTTGGAATGATTTTAGTTGTTCAACAAAAATCACCATTTCTTCAACAGTTTTGTGCATATCAGCAAAATTGATTTCTTCCACAATTGCCTCAACAATTTCATCTCCGATCACAAAATTAGTTCCTTCTTCAATTTCTTCAATAAATTCCTCTTCAACCAAGAAATTTATTCTTTCACAAAATTCCCCTTCTCCATCGGTGTCGTTGATGGGACCGGAATCTTCTTCCTCATCTTTTTCAATTTTCTCTTCCTCTATATCTTCTTCATCATATAGCTTGCGCAACATTTTTGGACAACAACTGAATTCAAACAAACTGAGCAGAATTCTTTTTTTTGAACAAGAACTTAGTTAAACCAAATTGGAACTAGGCTCTGATACCACTTATGATGCGTGTATGGGCTTGATTTAGTGAGTGGGGTAATTTTTAGGTAAATTAAGCTAGAATAGCAACCACAAATGATATGTGAACGGAAAGAAATGGATAGATTAGTGACAACTCAAGACCTATTAAGTTGTATACCGGTGAAAACAATCCAAGACCTATTAGATTGCGTTCGTATCAAGTCAAGAACACGTCCTAACAATATAATTTTTGAATTATAACAATAATTCCAATTGAAGAATTTTTTCTTAAAAATTCGTCTATTCACTTTCCCATGCATAAACTTGGCTTTATATGAAGCCTTTATTACAAACATGGTGGTTACAAGCCAACCAACCAATTATTCATTAAAACTAGTAAATGAAATTTAAGGAAACTCTTGAAATAACACAAAAAAACGTCTACCACACTTAAGAATGACAAAAAAACATCCATGTCTTCAATTAGTCTTCAATTGCTAGTAATTGGTTATGAGAAGATGTAGAGTGTAACTCCCAAGGATTAAAGAGAACCATCAATGATAAGAGTGTAACTTCCAAAGTTTAAAGAGATCCATCAATGATAATAGTGTAACTCCCAAAGTTTAAAGAGAGTCATCAATGATACCCTTCCAAACACTTCCATAATGTAACAACCCGAAATTCATATCCTTAATTGTAACCCTTTTCACGACTCGTTCCGATCATCCAATCGCCGTTTTTGATTTTGTTTCCGTTTCCGACCTTTTATTAAGTCGTTAATGTGAACTTTATTTTATGACTTAATAAGTGTCTTATTACCCTTAGAACTCATTCTAACGTCTCATATTAATGATCGGAACATTTTTAGAACCAACCATATCGGGTTACGGCAAATTGGCCGGGTGCGACCATAAGTCCCGTCTAACGCCGATATCGGGTAGAATTCTACCATGTCCCAAACTTGGACACAATTTAAAGTGATTCAAGTCTCCATTTTGAAGCTTTTGCTCCATTTTACAACTATCACTCCAACCTCTCTCCTCAAACTAGATTTTTAGGTCAAAATCTCAAGTTTAAGGCTTCAAATCACCAAGGTACCTTCCCTAATTTGTTATGCAACATCTTTAGCCCTCAAATTCGAGTTCAAACCATGGGATAGGACCATTAACATGAGTTTACAGCCCTAGAACAGTCCTAGGCCGTAAACTCACATAAAGGGGGTTTTTGGAGCAACAAAACCCTTCCAAACCTCAATTGGACCTTGTACGCTAAAGGACTTTATGAAATGGAATTAGAATGCCTCAAACCAAGATTTGAAGTCTTGTATATGAGTTTACGGCCTTGGAAGGTGCCTAGGCCGTAAACACATATTATGAGGGTTTTTAAGCCATTTAACCCTTCCAAAACACAAACAAGACTTAGATATGATTTTTAGAATATTGGAATTGGACTTAGAACACTTCAAACATAAATATTGAGAGGTTTATATGAGTTTATGGCCAAGGCATGTGCTTAGGCCGTAAACTCCTCAAAAAGGGGTATAAATTCAATTCTAAGGTTTTAGAAAGCCATCCAACACCACCAAAAGCCTTGGAATAAATCATAGAACCAACCAAAAATAGTTTAAGGGCTTTAAACACATCAAAATCCCACATTTGAGAGTTTACGGCCATAAATCATGCCCCATGGCCGTAAACTCCTAAATGGATGTCAAATGGTGCCCAAAATTGATTTCTAGACTTGTTGGAATTTTTAGAATCACATGTGATTAATTTTGGGACCTTAACAACACTTATTCTATGAGATATGTGAGTTTACGGCCATAGAACCCATGCCTAGGCCGTAAACTCCTTTAAGTGTTGCATTTGATGATTTTAATTCAATCCAAGCCTTAGTTAAAATTATTCCAAGCATTTCCAAGTGTCCATACCCATTTGTGAGCCATTAAACACCATAAATCACCCCTCTATGAGTTTACGGCCGTAAACTCATGGGGAACGGGTGTTTAGGCCGTAAACTCAATTAGGAAGTTTACTATTAGGGAGTAAACTCAAATCCCAAGTCCCACGCTTCAATTCCCGTCCGTAGATGTCACCCGGGTCACTCCAAACACCCGTTTTGTGGTGTTTTCGTTCGTTGGAGTGTAACCTCATATCTAATTAGAGTTTGTAAATTTAATTAGATATATTTGTATGCCATTTCATTTTACATAGGAACCTCGCGTGTTATCAGGCCTCGATTCGACGTTTAGCATCCGAAATCGACTCATATCCGCGTCCGGTGAGTTCATACCCCTACCCTTTTTCAATGGTTTTTCAATGTTTTCAGGGGGGGATACAAGCAAAAGTACAAGAATATCTTGTACTCAATCACATGATTTCAATTAAGTGGTTTCATAATTGTACAATTTAAGAATTGAAAACCTTTTAAACAAACTGTTTTAACTTGCAGAGTTGTTTGTTTTTAACCGATTTTCAATTCTTATTATACACTGTTATATTGTGTACTTTTCATTTGATTGTTCACATTTAAACTGATAGAATACACAAACCATTGTAATGTCTGTAATAAAACACTAAGGTTCGAGTGTAAAAGACAGACTCCATTAGAAAACATGAAACATCTATATGTCCTTAACAATACACCTAGGCTCGAGTGTGATAGATAAATACCATCATAACACACAAATCACTGTAATGTCCTTAATAATACACCTAGGATCGAGTGTAAAGGACCATAATCATTAAATAACACCCAGGTTTGAGTGTAATGTCCTTAATAATACACCTAGGGTCGAGTGTAAAAGGACAACCATCATTAAATAACACCTAGGCTTGAGTGTAATGTCCTTAATAAAACACCTAGGCTCGAGTGTAAAGGATAGGTACGTAGAATATAGTCAGTTGTAAATACTACTTTCCTAGTCGAAAAGTAAAGAGTAATCTTAATGATTGGAGACACGTCCTTGTAACACTTCCATGGCACGAGATAGTGGGGGACTAACCCTGTAACCAGAATCTCTGTTCGTAGGAGAGCGTGGCTTGAGTGTATAGATCTATACGGGACTGACAATCCCACACCTGGCTGCTAGCTACAGCCGAACCGAATGGTTCAAGGGTGACAAAAGTCATAAAAAGGATATTGACCATGGTCCGAGTCATATCCAATCTAAGTATGGTTAAGGACTCGCAATCTAGATTATTAACGTTTCAGACTCATTTACTAGCTTTATGTACGTAGTAAAGCTAATGTACATTTAGGGATTGCAGATACACACATAGTCAGGAAAACATGGGGTTTTCCTAGGAAGAACACTGAACATAACCATAACCAGTAAAGGCACACACACACACAGTCAGGGAAACATGGGGTTTTCCTGGGGAGAACACTGAACATAACCATAACCAGTAAAGACACACACACACACACAGTCAGGGAAACATGGGGTTTTCCTGGGGAGAACACTGAACATAAACAAAACCGGTAAAGATATACACACAGTCAGGGAAACATGGGGTTTTCTTGGGAAGGACACCGAACATAGTCAGAAAGTAGTAACAGTTCACACACACACAGTCAGGAGAACATGGGGTTCTTCCTGAGTAATAGTAGTACGAAATTAGAGAAGTGTAATAAGTTAAACAATTGAATTACATTTCACAAGAACAATCATGTTTTAATTAAACATCGTTTACTTTACTTTCGGATTTGGAAACTAACTTTACATAAGAAAATATGGGATTTTCTTGGATACCACTTTTCAGGAAAACAAAGGAACTCGTACATTTTCAGAAAAACTAACCGCTTATGAACTCACCAACTATATGCTGATTTTCAAACCGCTTGTATTCTTAGGTCCATGTTAGACAGGTACCCGAAGATCCTTTTGTGTGAAGACGGAGTTCTCAGAAGACTCATTTTGTATTGTTCATATATACTATGTATCACTTGTATAACTTATGCTTTTGAAACAAATGTAAAACTTTCATATATGTAATGTAATGGTTGATTTACTTTACTTACTATGTACATTGGATTTGATACTCTACGTGGAGTCAACCCGGAAATGTTTCCGCCTTCGGTTTTCGGGGTGTGACACATAATCACCCTAGCTTTGAATCCATCAATAAATGAAGTCTTGGATTTATTAAACTTTTATTAATTTAATTATGAAAACCCTAATCCATCAACTATGTCACCATGCATACCCCATAGGCCATTAAGCCCAAACAACTTTCTAGCCCAACATTAAGCTACCCATAGCCTTTTGGGCCTTCATTATCCATATATGGATCATTCCCTCCTTCTTCGAAAGGAATTTTCCTCAATTCAGTAAGAACCAAATTGTGTTGTTCCCCCATACGAACCTTCCCTGACAGCAAGTCTTGAAAACAAATTTTTATTCCATAATGTGACCTTTTCTTTATTCCAACTTGGTCTTTTCTCCACATACACATGTTCTTCTTCAAATAACTCAAATAACTCGCCAAATTCAATCCTAATCGTATCTTCCATTTGTGGATGAAAAACCACTTCCATACATTCCCATGAACTCGGCCCTGCAAATTAACCTTGCAATAATTTAAATGGTTAATTGTAATCATTTTAAAGAATGGATCATGGTTTGTATTTGTAAGTTGATGAGCAGTACGCCTCAATATCATGGTTTCCCAATTTAAGGCACACCAAAAGAATATGAGTCCAAACTTCATGAGCATCCTCCCATGTAAATACTTAGGACTTAGATCTTCATATTGATTAATTCTTTCTTCTTTGCTCGTAGAAAGATGGTTTGTAGAAAGATGGATACCATCGTTCGTCTTTATTTCACCACAAACTTCAAGCCTTCACTCTTGGTGTTATTGAACAACGAATGAAGAATTAAATAAGATATCTTTTGTTTTTGGACAACACAAAAAATTGGCATACGAATTGTCACACAA